ATAGATTTGTAAAATAATCGTTAGTTCCAGCCATAGTTCTCTCAAAATCTGAGCTTTATTTTTAATTACTCACTAAAACGGTAAATGGGCCTGATAGTGACGCTTAAAGTATAATGTTCTCGCCTTAAACAACCTAAAAATGTACTTTTATTGAACAACAGCAACAGAAAAGTAAACTTTTAACTTAACTTGCTCTGTGAGCGCTAACCTGGAAGCTGCTTCTGCCGCAGTGCATGCTGGGACAGCTGTCAGTCAGCCAGGTAAAGAGGGAAGGACGAGAACAACATGGGGTCCGCTCTAAATCTGCTGCTCTTGTGAATTGGAACAGAACTAGAACTGATTACGTTTCACGAGCACATGAGAACGCACAAGTACACATATTGAGAAACGGCCTTAATGTTTTTTGTTTATCTGATCAGTTTATTTTCTCTGCCTTTGCTAATATGGTTGATTGATAAATAAGGTTGGTTTGGTGGCATTTTAATTTCCGTCTGTGTGTTTCAAACCTTTGCTATACCTCCTTTTTTAATGTTAGGTTTTATTAGTAAACATTGCGTCTTTATTCTACCTCCTGGATCGCTTGTTTTTCCGCTCTTTGGACGTATCTGAGTCCACAATGTCGGCTCTCAGACAGTCCAGGTTCCCAGAAAAGGACAGATGTTCTCCGAAATACATCTTGTAGCTGAGTGGGGTGGCGTCCTGGGCCTGGATACCCGTGTAGCTCAGCAGGGGTTTGAAAACAACCTGGAAAGAAGGAAAATTATCTGAATTCTCAGTATGTCAGGATCTGATATCTGGAGTGAGGAAGTGAGGGATCACCTGAGCGTCAGCCAGCTGGACGGCAGCAGGGCACTGGTTCCCCTCCTCGATGTCCATGATGTCCTCCTGGCTGGTGCTGTGCTGGGAGTGCTGGGAATGGGTGCCGTCCAGCGTGTTCTGGTCGCTGGACAGCACCGTGTTGAAGTCTGAGGCGGAGGGGATGGTGGGCAGGTTGCACATCCCAGCTGAGAACAGAGGGGGGGGGGGAAACCAGATCAGATCATCTCCAGTGTTCCCAGCAGGCCGGGCTGCAGCTTTAACGGTACATCGTCACTTTAAAGAAAACCTTTTTTCATTTATAAGCCAGATATTCCTTCTGATCGCATTTGTTTTACAGCGTCCTGCTGATGTAGCGTTTGTGTTGCTGCTCATGGATACAATTAGTCAGCGAGCTGGAGCA